CATGGCACAAGTATACATATGTAACAAACCTGCACGTTATGCACATGTACCCTAGAACTTAAAGTATAATAATAAAAAAAAAATGAATACATGCTCAATTTGTTGGATTTCTACAATGTATCTTCAAATATGCTAGATATGTTACATGCATTATCCCTACAGTAATCGTATCAGGTAAGAATTTTTACTCCATTTGACAGATGCACAAACTGAGGTTCAGAGATCAAATGTAACTTGCTCAATGTTGTACAAATAAGAAATGAATAAGCCAGGATTTCAACCTAGTCTGGCTGACTCCAAAACCTAAGCTCTTGACATTTCTGCTACATGCACCTCTACATTCCGGAAGAAAGAAAAGATAAAGTTAAACTTAAAGCTCATAGACAATATTCACTAACTTAAAAGACATTTCACAAGCATGAAATACAGAAGCAAATAATCTATGGTCTTGAGTGGTACCAGAGTCAGGCTGAAACAGATGATTATATTTTTAAGTAAATGAATTATGATTTGAAAAAAGGAAATCCTAGGATGGCTTGGAAGCACAGATTAAGGTCACCTATCCCTGTCTAGATAGGTTTTTTGGGTATGAATTCTGAGCTAAATATTTAACAGCATATAAGAGTGAACTCAGTGAAGTCAGAGGTGGGTTTTTAGAGAAGGGAGTAACATTTGTAAGGTTTATTGCAGTCAGGGTGCAGGGAAGAAGTCCAGATATAGGCTAGGGGAGATAATAGACCAAAAGGGATCTCGTACTGAATTAAGGTTTTTTCCCCTGAGGCAGTGATAAGCTACTGAAGGATTTTAAACAGGAGTCATGTTTTTTTTTTTGTTTTTTTTTTTTTCTTTTGAGAGTGACTCTTCTGTCTATAGTGCCATAAATGAAGATAGAACACTGCTGCAACATTCTAGGCAGTCTAGCATGATGATACCTAGACCTGTGGTCTCTGAAGTATGGGGTATATACTCCTGGGATACATAAGGGCAGCTAATGGGCCAGACAAAAAAAGAAACGTTAGAACTTCTATTTATTTTTATTTTATTTCAACCATGTTTTTAGTTTTGCGTATTTTTATAACATATAAATGTATACACACATAATAACGTTTTGAAATAAAATGATTAGAGAGCACTGTTTTAAAAGAGATGATCAAATGTAAGTAATGTGTTAGATTTTTGTAGGATTTGGTAGGATTTTATTAAGAGTTAGATAAATGGATGTAAGATAGTGGGTAATATAGGTAAGAGAAAATACAACAAGAGAAACATAAAATGAGTAATTTAATTTTATGATGAATTTGTGGTGCTATAGTTTAAGTAAAAATGCTTAAAAGATAGATCAATCTACTAACACTAAAGTAAAATGATATATTAGCTAGTGCCATAAGTTTTGCAGTCAATGTGATATGGAGGTCAATTGAAACCATGTAAGTGAATGAAATCAGCAAAGGAGTCTAGGGAAGGTGAATAAAAATGATAACCTGGCCCAGAACCCCAGGAACACTGACACTTAGAATGAGCACCAGAAAGGCAGAGGAGGAGAATGAAATAGAGGGGCCACAGAGGAAGAATGAAGACTGATGTAGAGAGTGGTTTAATAGAAACTGAAGAGAGTACTGATGTTGAACAAATATTGATGTGCAATTCTGCTGAGAGGCTAAGTAGGAGAAGAACTAAAATGTATTTTGTGTTTAGGATGTGTAGTGATTGGCAACCTTTTCAAGAAGCAGCTTCAGTGACATTGTGGGAATGAAAACCATTGTGGGAATTCTAAGGGTGGAATAGTGAATGACAAGTGAGGAAGTGAGGATTAGGAATGATTTAGATAATTTTGGCTGTGAATGTGGATGAGAGAAGACTGGAGTGGGATGAACTATTTAAAACATTAAAATAGGGAAGAAACGCACACATTTAAATGATGCTGATGAAAAAACCACTAGCAGTAGCAAAGCAGAGGATACAGGGATCTGTGATTTCTTTCCTGTCTTTATCAATGTCTATCTTGTTCCTTATGGCAGCTCTGAACAAAGAAACTGAGAGGCAAAGTTTTCCCAAAACACAGTCCTAATCATCTGTGAATTGAACACGGAAGAATAGAATGAACAGTACTTTCAGTCCCCCATGACAATAAGAGTGAAAAACAGCCAGAAATACATAGAGGCACAGAGATCAAAATAGGCCTGCATTTTTTAAAAAGGAAACTATCTGCAATGGATTCCTAGAGAGGCTCCCACTTCTCTTCCCCAAGTGTAGCATCTGCTTCTTGTGAAATTAGCAGAACTGAAGATGCTGAACGTTATCCTCTCTGTTAAATGTGACTCGGGTGTGGGGTGGAATTTGGGGCACCGCTGCCTCAGGTTGGGTTAGGAATTTGAGAGTGGTAGGAGCTGACAACAGGAAAATAACTGCTATTGATCAGAAAATCTTACCTCTAGCCCATTTTTTACATTTCCTAATTTATTGAAGACTTGATGATATATTTCCATTTTGTCTTATCCCATTTTACTCTGAAAAATAGATTTAATAGAATTGTCTAAAATTATCATTTTTTTTTTTTTTACATGCTGCCTCTTTTTCTGAATCTAGGTTTAATTCTTTAACATTTTCCATTGCCGTATTCATGTTTTGTTTGTTTGTTTGTTTTTGGTACAGCATTTGCAACACCTTAGCTAACTAATCAGTTCATAGTACTATTTTTCCTAACTAGTATGTGAATATTACATGAGAAGATGTCATAGTCCGTTGTACTATCCTTGGGCACAGCATATATTCTGACAACTCTTCTAAAGTTTAATATTATGAAATCAGTGGGTGAATGAATGGATAATGCATCATGGGAACAATTTTCCTGTTTCTCTAAAATAGGTACTTTTTATGGATTATTTTTATACATATAATGTATAAGTGTGGATTTATCATATTACTTTCTAAATACTTATACTTACTTAATACTTATACTTACTAAATGTTTATATGTATCCCTATTTGTCAATGACTGATTTATTTGGCTCATTTGTGGCCATTCTGCTTCAATTACTGTTTCTGTTTAAGATTAGCTCACTGTGTCAAACCTGGTTCTTTCTCCTGAAGTCACATTTCCAAGTCGCGTTTACACAGCTCATTCAGAAAAACTTTCAAGCTTCCAGTTATTCTTCTTCCTAGAGTGGACTCATTTCCATTTGTCTCTGCAGTGAGTACTTCCAGAACTGGCAAGAATCAGAGAAAAATAATTGAGTTTTGATATATCACTTGCTCAGAGTTATTTAACCATAAAGACTCTTATAAAACTCTTACGTCTGTTTTAACCCATTCACCCCCATCTCCAGTCTCTGCTTTATTTTTCTCTGTAGTACTAATCATTTCTTAATCTCCAATCTGATTTACTCATTTTTGCCAGTTTAAAAAAAATATTTCCAGGATTCTCTAGAATGACACTTAAATGAGGGTAGATACCTTTATTGATTCACTACTTTGTCAGTGACACATAGAATGTGCATAATAAATGTTTGTTAAATGAATAACGAGCTAACATGGAGATCTGCTTCTTCATCTGTATATTTTTGATAACGAAAAGTATAGACATAACGAAAGTATAGAAAACGAAAGTATAGACATCTCATTAGCCAAAACTTTTTCATTCCTAAAAGAGCAATAGCAAATTTCCAGATAGCAAGAGCCTATATTTCATTATTTTTAATGGAAAAAAATCATAATAAGTTCTAAGCACATCCCAAAATGCCAACCAAGTGTTATTAAAACATGTAAAAATATCAAAGTCATAATCCACAAATGATTTCTGGATAGCATAAAACAGAATACAACATACCTAATTATTTAACAAGTAATAAAGTGAAGTTACTTCACTGGTGAGTATATTTCTGTTCAGTATACAATATTACTGTGAATTTTCTTTTCATACTGCAAAGGACAAGAACTCCAATGCAAATAAAAAATAAAATAATGTGATAAATATAGAAAAGTGACTAACTAAATTGAAACTTGTTAATAGTGCCCTCAGGCATCTGACATAGCAAACAGGAATCTGTTTTAGTATAAACTTCAAAGTAAAGTGTAGAGAACATAATAGTAATAATGTAAAAGGTTTAAACAACTTTAATATGCATCATAATCTCATCAGGAGAACAGCAGAGATAAAACTGCAATATGATTGATGTTTTCTCACAAGGAAGAACACCCAAGTTAGATGTCTTTGCCGATATGCACATGCAATTTTGTTTAGGGACCTTTGGACTTTGATAGTGAAGTTTTGGTTAAAAAAAAAAAATTGCAAGTCATTATAGTGAATGAATAGTGAAGTTTTTGAATAGCAAGAGCTAATTTTATTATCTCCAAGGGTTTTTGAGCATTAAATGGGATGTTCTCTGTAAAGGGCTTGACTCTTTTACTCATTGTATAGTAACGAATGTTATGTCTGAAAGTAGGAGAAAGATAGATATGATTGTTGTCACTGAATTCACTATCAATTAATGATATGCCTATTTTTGCTTGTGAACGTTCTCGGTCCCCTACTCATCAGTGATTTTTTCTAACTCAGCAATCTTACAATTTGCCGATTTTGGGAAAATGAAATAAAAGAGAGGCCCTAAAACAATCACATAGAAGTGTCATTCTAATCAGCTGTAAGCAAGTAATTGACTATCCTGTAGCTGCAATGATGACTGTTATTCTTTCCAGCTGCTCTTAATAGGACTCATATCGATTTGTCTGGTGTCCAAAATAATTTTCCAAAAGTGTTACCCTAGGGCCTGGGAGCCAGTTATGTTGTTAGCATCTGGTTTTAACATTTTGGGAAGGACTGATATCCTGTTCTGCCTGTTTTAAGTCCATCCACGTTATTTGAGATGCCGGGTCTCTAGCAGGTTTATGTATCCAGTATTGCACTTATGAAATTATATATTTATTTTGAAATTAAATAAATATTGTATATGAAATATGGCTGGAAAACTGATGCTGGCTTTGTAGATTCTGTTAGTGTCACTGTGGAACTACCTTGCATATCAAGCTTGGTTGATAATGACCAACAACAAAAAAAAGACAGAGGAAAATATGAGTCTCCCATGCTACCTGATAGTAAAATTTTATTTTTCTTTTAGAAAACATTATCTACAAGTCAACTAGAAAAATAAGTCTCTGGTTAAATAGCTAAATGGTTTATTTCCCTTTGCATGGAAAATCTCTGTAGTAGTCTACATAATTTAATAAAGGGGTACCTTATTAACCTAAAAAGTTAACTGAAAGAGATACCTGTTAGTCTCATTCTCTACATTACCAATGACTTAAAAAAATACTATTCACCTACAAGAGTATCACTAATTAAAGCCAGAATTTGTATTCATATTACCATTTAGCTTCATATGCACAGCTTTAGTTTAGTTTGTTTCTTTTTAAAATTGTCCTGTGCAATTTGGAGCTCAAGAATATGTATTTTGAGTTTCCAGGTTAAATAAACAGCATTTGCTCTCATCCTGGTAAACAAGCTTGAATGCAATTTGGAAGAGAAGTAGAATGCTAAGCAATAAAGAGCTAAAATGCAAGCATACTGAGTAGATTAGGGAAATACAAGTTTCTCCTATGAAAAAACTAATTGCTTTTTATTGATAGTGGATTAATTAATATGCATATGATTTAACTATATCTTAATTAGTTCACTCATTTAACAAATATTCATTTAATACTTTTACAATTTCAAACACGTTACTAGCACAAATTAATTTGCATAATAACAAGAAGAAATACACAAAAAATTATAAGGAAAACTCAAAGACTAAGATTAATATGCGCTACTATTCAATGGAGTTATGGACTAGAAGCTGGGAAATTCTCCATGATTCCAAAGACATCTGTCTTGACCACAGAAGTCTTTTTTCATGTAAGCAATATATCTTCAGCCTTATTTAACAGAGACAGTAAAAATCACTGAGAATACATAGAGAAGGCTTAAGAATTAAAGAGGAAAATGAAACAAGAGTGAAAATCAGTAAAAAAGAAATGAAAGATGCAAAAGAGATGTACAACAAAGCAAAGTTGGTGTTTCATAAAAACACTAGTGGAAAAGACAAACCTCTGTTGTGATTAAAACAAGAATGAAAGAAGACACAGATAAATATTGTGAATAAAAGGAAGGCATACATACAATAGCGATTACAATGATAAGACAAATACTATAAAATATAGCAATAATTTTGAAAATTTTAAAAATATATTAATGTCTAAAAACCTGCAACTATGAGAATTGACTCATGATGAAATAAAAACATTAATAGTTCTATGTCTGTGAAAGCAATTGAAGCACTTGTTAAAAATATTCCTCAAAGAAAATACCAGCCCATGATGATTTTACAAGTTATAAAAAATAAGAAACCATACCAATTTTCTTTCTTTTTTTTGTGATAAGAATGTTTAACATGAGATCTTGTATTATTTTCCTGATTTTGTTTAGTTCTCTCTCTGTATTATTTGTAACTCACTAAGCTTCTTTAAGGTGATTATTTTGAATTATTTGTCAGACAATTCATAAATTGGCATTTCTTTAGGGTCAGTTATTAAAAATTTACTTTTATTATTTGTTCTTTTAATTCTGTCGTTTTCCTGATTCTCCATGTTTATTGTAGTTTGCATTGGTGTCTGGTCATGTAAAGAAACAGCTTCCTCTCCCAATCTTTACAGACTGGCTTTGGCAGGAAAATATTTTCCTCAGTCTGCCCATCTAGAGATTCTGAGATCCTCTCAAGCCTTGTCTATGGATGTGTTATCTCTGGAGTTATATGTACCATGGGCCAAGACATTGGAGGCATGTTCCACTCCTCTCCCCTCCTTTCTTGTGGAGAAGCCTTGTGTTCTGTGCCTCTCCAATCTCTCCCAATCTTTCTAAGCCATGCTAGGCATATCAGGTACCTTGCCCCTTTTTCTTTGCTTTTAGCTGCCCCCCCTGCCCCCCCACCCGACCCCTACCCCCAACCGCCAAACTGTGAAAGTTCCACCAGTGCTCCAGGTAAAGTGAAACAGAAACCAGCCCTCAGGAAGCACACTGAAAGCAGGCACATTGGAAAAACCCTCTACTTCTCTTGCTCCTAAGAGAGTAGCTTCCATTTCTGCCTCTCCTTTTAATCTTGCAGAGCTTTGATAGCCACAGGAACCTTCCCATCATTTTTTCTTTATTCTTAACTGCTCCCAGACATCTGAACTATACTTATTCAATCAGCACTTCATCCCAATTTTTAATCAAATTTTCTAAACAACAGAGAAGCAGAAAAATTATTTGCCCCATTCTCCAATTCATTTACCAAAATCAAAATTATTAGGAGAAAAAAATTACATGCACGTTTTAATCATACATATATAACAAAATCCACAAAGAAAATATTAACATTATTCAATGTGTATGAAAAAAGATACACTCCAATTATGTTAGGTATATTTTACGCGTAAAGGAACAGTTTAGTTTTACAAAATATATAAATATAATTCATGTTAACATATAAAAAAGAAAAATCATATGATCTACTCAGTTGATGCAGAAAAAACATTTGATTAAAAAACTAACCACAATTCACAAAAATCATTATTAGAAAATTAGTGTTAGAAGATAACTTTGTTTTCCTGAAAAATTGATTCTATTTTTTAAGTTACACTTTTTATACTAATTGAGAAAAAACGAAAGATTTGGAAATATGGAAATATGCAAAAAAAATCACATAATCACCACTTCCATTCTATTTTATATTGGAAGTTCTAGGAAAACATGACAAATTTTTACAATAGATGATTGAAGAAGAATACTATATTGCTATACATGCCATATTCAGTTATATAGAATATCTTAAAAAACTAAAATTATTAGAAATGATAAGGGTATTTATCAAAGTAATTATGAGATTAATGTATTAGAGAAAATAATATTAAATTTGCCATTATGTGATCCTTTAGACATATAAAAATGGTGTATGTTATGGTTCAACCTAATACAAAGCCTGTTGAATTTCTAAATACCAAAAGCAAACAATAAGAAACATGTTTTGCCTGTGACATTATTTATAGTATTAATAATATCAAGTATCTATAAGTAAAGCTGACAAAAAGTGTGAAATTCTGTTGTTTGATAGCAAAGATACCTAAATAAGTAAGAACTTATGTCATGGTTATAAATAAGAAGGATTCATGCTATGAAGTTGCCAATTTTCCCAATTGATCTATAGACTTAATAAAATCCCAATTAAAGGTTGTGAGAAAAAATTAATGCAAATCTAATTACAGGGCATTACAAGAAACTTTATTAGATGATTCTAAAAATTTCTGTGTTAGAGTAAGTAAGCAGACAAGAAGAGCCAGGATATTTCTAAAGAACTACAAGGAGCAAGGAATTATCCTACCAAGTTTTAGGATTTATAAAATTTTTCATTAAAATACTGTGATACTAATCCATACATTAAAAAATATTTGTAACCAGTGCAGTAGAATTAGGTAAGTGGAATACACCTATGCATTTATGAATATTGATATATGACAGAAGTAGCATTCTAGATCATAGGAGAAAGTAAAACTGATCAATACATGGACTGAAAAATTGACTATCTATATTTTAAAAGGTTACATTGAATTCCTACCTCAAACCATACACAAAAGTAAATTCTAGATGGATTAAATACTTAAATTTCAAAAACAATGATTAAAAATAAAGGTAGCTATTTTTAAAATCTTGGGGTAGGAAATATTTTCTTAAAATAAAAAAAAAACACTTAAAGAAAATATTGGTAAATATTACAATGTTAAAAGTAAGAAGATTTGTTTATCAGGACATCATTTGTGTAAGTGACAAGATTATATAAATTAGAAAAGAGTATTCTTGTTACATATGACCAACAACATATTAGTAAGAATAGCTAAAGAACTTCTACCAACCAATAAATAAAGCACAAACAACTCAATTTAAAAAATAAAATATATGCAAAAGCATTTCACTGAAGAGGAAATACATGCAGCCAATAAATATATGAAGAGGTGTTCAATATCCTTAGTGATCAAGGAAATACAAAACAAGACATTATCGACATTAATTTTTACGCTCATTTGATTAGCAATGTTAAAAGCAATATCAAGAGATGTGTGTTCACCAGCTGTCTTATACCGTGTTGGTGGGAGGTTTAAATGGTGCAATGAATTTTGCAAATGGTTTGGCATTATCCCTTAAAATTTAATAATCACATACTGTATGACACAAAAGAATCTGTAAGCATGTATTCAATAGGAAATGTACAATAGGAAACTGTGCCAGAATGTTCATAGTCACACATTTCACAGTGGTTCAGAGGCCCAGCAAATGGAGACAGGATGGGTGAGCTATTCACCTAGTTTAGTTTTCTGGTATCATGGCAGACAGGGTGTGAAATATTTAAAGGTTGACAGATGATGATCTTGCTCTCTGGGACTTGTAATTTTTACAGAAATATAAATATTAGTAGAAAAAGTCCAAAGTGATGAAATTCAAATGATCTAATTTTGATGTTCTGATTTTCCTAAGCTATGGCTTAAGTAAAATCATATTAAAATTTGTGGTCTTAATGTAATCACCTAGAATACCTGGAGTGTATCACCTGGAACAGCACCTGGCACATGGTAGGTGTCCAGTAAACGTTTGTTAGATGAATAAATGGTATTTATCAAATTCCTAAAATTATGCATATTTAGAATACTAAATTTAAGTAGTGTATTAAAATATAATCTATAAAGTATTAAAATACTGAAAAATGAAAATGTTTGCCCAAAACTCTCTTTGGAGATGGTATTGACAATGACAATCAGGAAAAATGGCATATAGGAGGGAGGACTAACATGCAGCTCCTACTCAGACAGATAGAGCAGCATGAGGAGACTTACATCATAAATTTTGCTGCAAGAACTACTGTAGGGACATACCAGGAAAGCTACGATAATCCACAGACCCTTTGAAGGAAGCAGCTTGCTGCAACAGGCTCTGTGACATGGCTGAAAAACTGTGAGTACTCAAAGGGTGAGAGGGGGAATGTCCATCCCCGAATACACATCCTCACCGGGGAACCTGAAGGTCCAGATCATGAGGGAAGGATTTGACCTTACCTATATAGAACGTAGGGGTAGAGGAAGCAGCACCAAGAGCCCTGTGGACATGCTTGGTTCCAGGAATCCATTCTCGACTTTGTCTTTCAGGGGTTCTTGGGGAGGAAACCGTGGCAGGTGGGGAGGTGTGAAACCTGAAAGCTCTCCTTGCATTCTCAGTGGGGAGGCTTATAGCCTGAGGAAAGATCTCAGGCCTGCTCACCAGCTGCGTGGAAACAAACTTGGTGCTGTTGAGGGGAGACATAGTGGGAGTGAGATGGCCTTTTGGGCTGCCTGGGAGCTGGGTGAGACCTGTCACTGCTGGCTTTCCCTCACTTCCCTGGCAACCTGTATGATGCATCAGAGGCAGTCATAATTCCCCTGGGAACATAACTCCATCAGCCTGAGAACCACACCCAATCCTCCACAGCAGCAGCAAACCCTGCCCAAGGAGAGTCTGAGCTCAGACACCCTGCCCCCACCTGATGGTCTTCCTTGCCTGCCCTGGTGGCCAAACACAAAGGACATGATCTCTTGGGAGCTCTATGGCCCCACCCACTGCCTGAGAAACCTGAATACTTATTTAGGACCCCCTAGGACAAGGTTGTGTCCTCCCTTACAAGACCACAGCTGATACTCTCTTGAAAGCACTACCTCTGAGCTGTAGACCAAGCAACAGAAAGCCAATGCACTAAACAAAAATACAACCAAGGACCTTCACAGAGTCGACTTCACTTCCCTGCTGCCTTCACTAGAGCAGGTGCTGGTATGCATGGCTGAGAAACCTGGAGACTGCATCACAGGACTCCTTGCAGACACTTTCCAGTACTAGCGTAGAGCCTGGTGGCTCTGCTGGGTGGCTAGACCCAGAAAACAAGTAACAATCACTGCAGTTTGACTCTCAGGAAACCTCTTCCACAGGGGAAAGGGGAGAGCAGCACATCAGGGGAGCACTCTGTGGGACCAAAGAATCTGAGCAACTGTCCTTGAGCCCCAGTGTTTCCTCTGACATAGTCTACCCAAATAAGAAGGAACCAGAAAACCAATTCTGGTAATATGACAAAACAACGTTCCTTAACACCCCCAAAACATCACACTAGCTCACCAGCAATGGATCCAAACCAAGAAGAAATCTCTAAATTGCCGGAAAAAGAATTTGGAAAGTCAATCGTTAAGCTACTCAAGGAGGCACCAGAGAAAGGTGAATACCACCTTAAATAAATTAAAACAAATGATACAGAACATGGATGGAAAAAATTGCAGGCAAATAGCATAAATAGAAAACAATCACAACTTCTGGAAATGAGGGATACACTTAGAGAAATGTAAAATATACTGGAAAGTTTGAGCAATAGAATCGAACAAGTAGAAGAAAGTACTTTGGAGCTTGAAGACAAGGCTTTAGAATTAACCCAATTTGACAAATACAAAGACAAAGTAATTTTAAAAAATGAACAAAGCCTCTAAGAAGTTTGGGATTATGTTAAACAACCAAACCTAAGAAATGGTCTTCCCAAGGAAGAAAAGCAATCTAAAAGTTTGACAAACATATTTGAGGGAATAATTGAGGAAAACTTCCCTAGCCTTGCTAGAGATCTAGAGATCCAAATACAAGAAGTCAAAGAACACCAAGGAAACACATTGTAAAAACATCATCACCTAGACACATAGTAATCAGGTTATCTAAAATCAAGATGACAGAAAGAATCCTAAGAAATGTGAGGCAAAAGCGTCAGGTAACCTATAAAGGAAAACCTATCAGATTAACAGCAGATTTCTCAGTAGAAACCCTACAAGTTATAAGAGATTGGAGTCCTATCTTTAGCCTCCTCTAACAAAACAATTATCAGCCAACAATTTTGTATCCAGTGAAACTAAGCTTCATAAATGAAGGAAAGATAGAGTATGTTTCAGACAAACAAATGTTGAGAGAATTTGCCACTACCAAGCCAGCACTACGAGAACTGCTAAAGGGGCTCTACATCTTTAAACAAATTCTCAAAATACACCAAATAGAACCTCCTTAAAGCATAAATTTCATACCTATAAAACAAAAACACAATGAAAAACAACAATAACAAGGTATTCAGGCATCAACTAGCACAATGAATAGAATAGTACCTCACTTTTCAATACTAATATTGAATGTAAATGGCCTAAATCCTCCACTTAAAAGATATAGGATGGCAGAATGAATAAGAATTTACCAATCAAGTATCTGCTGTCTTCATGAGATTCACCTAACACATAAGAACTCATATAAACTTAAGATAAAGTGGAAAATGACATTCCATGCAAATGGACACCAAATGCAAGTAAGAGTAGCTATTCTTATATCAGAAAAAATAGACATTAAAGCAATAATAGTTAGAAAGACAAAGAAGGACATTAAATAATAATAAAAGGACTGCCCAATAGGAAAATATTACAATCCTAAATATATATGCACCTAACACTGGAGCTCCCAAATTTGTAAAACAATTGCTACTAGTCCTAAGAAATGAGATAGACAGCAATACAATAGTAGTGGAGTACTTCAATACTCCACTGAAAGCACTAGACAGGTCATCAAGACAGAAAGTCAACAAAGAGACAATGGACTTAAAATATACCCTAGAACAAATGAACTTAACAGTTATTTGCAAATACATTCTGTCCAACTGCAGAATATACATTCTATTCATCAGCACGTGGAACATTCTCCAAGATAGATCATATGATGGACCACAAAACAAGCCTCTAAACATATAAGAAAATTGAAATTATATCAAGTATTCTCTCAGATCACAGAGGAATGAAAATGGAAATCAACTCCAATAGGAATATTCAAAACCATGCAAATACATGGAAATGAAATCATCTGCTCCCGAGTGTCATTGTGTTAACAGTGAAATCAGATGGAAATCAAAGAATTATTTGAATTGAATGATTGTAGTGACAGAATCTATCAAAACCTTTGGGACACAGCAAAAGCAGCACTAAGAGGAAAGTTTATAGCATTGAATGCCTACATTAAAAAGTCTAAAAGAATAGAAATAGGCAACCTAAAGTCACATTTCAAGGAACAAGAGAAACAAGAATAAACTACTTTTACACTGTTGGTGGAAATGTAAACTAGTGCAACCACTATGGAAAATAGTGTGGATATTTCTTAAAGAACAAAAAGTGGATCTCCCATTTGATCTAGCAATCTTACTCCTCGGTATCTACCCAGAAGAAAAGAAGTCATTATACAAAAAAGATACTTGCACATGCTTGTTTATAGCAGCACAATTTGCAATTGCAAAAATGTGGCACCATCCCAAATGTCCATTAATCAACAAGTGGATAAAGAAAATGTTATATATACACACACACACCATGGAATACTACTCAGCCATATAAAGGAACAAAATAATAGCACTCACAGCAATCTGGATGAATTTGGAGACTATGATTCTAAGAGAAATAACTCTGGAATTGAAAACCAAACATTGCATGTTTTCACTCTATGTCAGAGTTAAGCTATGAGGATGCAAAGGCATAAGAATGATACATTGGAATTAGGGGACTTGGGAGTAAGGGTGGTGGGTGGCGTGGGATAAACGACTACACATTGGTATAGCGTACACTGTGTGAGTTATGAGTGCCCCAAAAATCTCAGAAATCACCACTAAGGAACTTATCCGTGTAACCAAACACCACCTTTTCCCCAAAAACCTATTGAAATACAAAAATTAAAATTAAAAAATAATTGTTTTTTATTAAAAAATGAGTCAAAACTATAGAAATTAGTTTTCTATTAGTGATTGTTAATCTAGTAAATAGCACTCATGAATCACTATAAATAACTAATAGTTTTTTACTGTTAGTAATCCACAAGGTAAATATTTCATTGGTATAAATTAGTAAGTAATATGTAATGGCCCACTAATTGTATTATTGCAGCTTGTTGGTTTTAATGATACTTTTACTGGTACAAATACTAACTCTGCTAAAATTTAGTGATGTATTTCTACATGTTATTTTTTTTTAACTTTTAGGTTCAAGGGTGCATGTGTACCTTTATTACATAGGTAAACTTGTGTCATGGGTATGTGTTGTACAGATTAGTTTGTCATCCAGAAACTAAGCCTAGTAACCAATCGGTCTTTTTTTTTTTTTTTTTTTTATCCTCTCCCTCTTCTTAACCTCCACCCTCAAGAAGGCACCTGTGTCTGTTGTTCCTTTCTGTGCCTACATGATATCTTAAATGATACAAATTTTAAGAGTTCCAAAAAGAATGTAATAAAATAATAATAGGTGCCATAATCAAGATCAACCATAGAGCATGGAAAGATATTAGAAAAATAATTAAAAATTTAAAAAAAAAATTTGCATCAAACAAAAAATTTAGGGAGAAAAATATAGAATGCCAGGGAAAAAGAAAAAAAGTTTTAGTTTCAGTTAAATATATCTTAGAAACATAAAATATGACTGATAAATTTCACTAAAAACTAAAACAGAAAAAAAATCTCAGGAATTATTAAAACTGACTATAGATTTTGCAAATCTAAGCATATGATTATGTAATTTGACTACTTAAATTACTCTCTTTTTGAAAATTATTGATCTCAAGCAAGAAATTCTAACTTTCCAGATGGTAGGAAGTTTTGGAAATGAATATTATATAAAAATTTCAAATGGCAAAATAAATGATTAGAATCTTTTTACTTCATCCTATTTCAAATGATTCTTCATTTTGTCTATGTTTTAAACTCTTTGCAGACAGAACAGAATGGACTCAAGAGTGGCAGGTTTTTCATGTATTTCAGATAAACATGACGAAAGGGGGATATATGTTAAATTAAATATTTCTAATTGTATTCTGATTTTAAATATGTATAATTACCAGTGCTGCAATAAAGAAACTATATGTAAATGAGGAAAATAATGCCATGTGGCATTTGAATTCCTGATTCAGTTTTTAGTGATGCAATGTCTAACATCAAAGATCAGCCAGGAAACTTTATGAGCATGATTATGAGAACTTTTGCATTTGGCAGGAATTGTAACAAAATTTGAATATTATGGGAAACATTTATGCAGAATACAAATATTGCCACCAAAACAACTACATGTTATTTGGGGCATGAAAAACAAGTGAATAATTAAGACAATAATAAATATGTTTATGAAAATAACTGAATATGAATTGATACTACTTGATACACACACACATGTACACATATATAACTCATCACATAAACTTTGCTCAATTGAGAATAACTGCTGTTTGATTTGAAAAATTCCAAAATGCATATTTTGCAGATGAAATATTTTTGTGTGGGTTTGCTCAGTAGATGACAAAATTGAGGAAAAACTAAAGACATTTTTAGTAGACTTGTAAAACCTGAATGTAACCAAAGATAATCCAAGTGGAAGGGTAAAACAATGTGCAAGGAAGAGAAAAGATTGCAACAAGGGGGAAAAGGACTGTATTCAATAAATGGTTCTGGGATAATATGCAGAAGATTGAAACAGAACCCTTACTTTCACCATATACAAAAATTAAATCAAGATGCATTAAAGAAATAAATGTAAGACCACAGACTGTAAGAATCTTAGAAGAAAACCTAGGAA